AATTCGGGCTCACACGGAAGGTGGAGCTTCCGAATTCGCGCGCATGATGCAAGGCATTCTGTCGACGCTCGCGTGCACCCAGGAGAGATTGGATAGTGCAGTGGATTTCCCCCCGTGAACAGCGACGCGATTGGCAGACAAGAGTCTTTGCTGCTCTAAAAGCAGGGCGACACGCAGGGTCTGCAAAATAGAACTTACGTGCACGAAGTTGTCGGCGCCAGTCTGACCAAACAGGCGACAAAACAGCAGCGATCTCACGATTGCCAATGTGGACAGGATTCGCAACGAAGTCGCATCATCACTGGGTCGGATCGAAGCCAGGCTGTATAAATTGTCGCGAAACTTTTGCTGATCTGGGTCGGCAGTCCTCGCCAGCCGCCAGGCACATAAGCCCTTGCGGGGAAACGGCCGTGGGCAACATTACCCCGGCGAGGGAATTGGTGGATTGGAAAGTCGCTGGCGACGCCCATCTTCCGACAACTGATGCACGTTCAGAGACGGAGCAGAACGCGCCGGGGAAACCCGATGCTTTGCAACCCGCGGCGGCGCAACCTGCCTCCGAGGCTGCGGATCAGCCGCCCGGCAGCGCGCCGGCATCTGCGCCACCGATGCCGCGGCCACCCGTCGAGCGGGCGCCTGCCCTGCAGCGGCGCGACCAAACGGCGACTCCCAACCGCCCGACGCAGGACAACAGTTGAATGCAGGATCTGCGGGCGCAATCCCCAGATGCTCGGCGGCGCCGACCCGACGGGCCCCCGCCGTGCGAGATAGATCGACCAGGAATGGGCGGGGAGCCACCAAATGACCGCCAGTCTGCAGCTGAGGGGGGCGCGAACAAAAAATCGTGAATACGGATAGCAATGACAAGGAAGCAGACCGCGACTTGTTCAGAGCCCCGCCGCCAGTCGGTTGCCGCGGAGAATAGAAAAACTTGATGCGCGCGAGGCGGCCCGCTCGTCTCCGGGCGCGACCGGCGCGGCAGTCAGATGGCATCGCGAGGCCGAGGGCGATGCGACGCGCGCGGGGATTTCGCTGACAGCGACGACTTCGACGCAGCGGATGCAGAACTCGCATGGCGCGCAGCGGGGCCTTGAAGAGCGACGATCTGAAAGGGCGGGCCCAGTTCGCAAAGTGGAAGTCAGAGCTCGCGACTGCCCGGTAAAGGGGGCGGCGGGATCTCCTCGCAACAAAGCAATAAAGGAGCGGCGCAGTCTCGTCGAAGCGGCCTGCTGCATCTTGGACCCCCCCCCGCGTCGAGACTGCCGGCGTCGATGCGCTTGTCAACAGTCTCCGTGAGTTAGTTGTTTTTTCCGAGGAATGGTTTGCTATTTATTTGGGGTCGCACCTGTGCCCGCGGAAACGGCTTTGGAAGCCCAGTTTCCATCGCGCGCGGAACGCCGTCGAGATGCGGGAATCGGCATGGGAACGCACTATCGAATGGGGCGGGGCGGCCCCGCTGCAGATCTCCGCGCGGCGACTCGACGCCGCCGTTGGATGCCCGCGAAACCGCCCTCCAAGCATGCCGGGCGGCAAGAGCGCTGTCGCGGCGGGGCGATCTTGCGCTGGCAAGCATCAGAAGTTTTGGCCGTCCCACGCCGGGGATGGAATGGGCCTGGCTGCGAGGGCCCGCGGGGCTGCAGGCGCAGCGACCTGCGCGCCGTGGGCCGCGTTGACCGGTCGGGCGCCGCGCGGGCCGAGGTCGGTCGAAAAGCCGCGACGAAGTCGCGCTCCTCCTCCCGAGCGCCGACCAGGGGCGCGCAAGCAGATTGATGGGCGTTGCGTTTGCAAGTGGCATGGAAATAGCAGCCGTTCTCCAAGCGGGGGCAGACGCCAGCCCCCTGGCAGAGAGAACGCGAGGCAGAGCGCCACCAGCCAACGAGGGCAAGGGCAGCCCATCAACCAATAGTCCCGGCCGAGGTAAGCGCCCTTGGGCGGGTGCGAGAGCGGCCCGAGGGGCCGCGAGCAGAATCCGAGATCTGGAGGAGAAAACGCCTGCAGTCCGTGGCCTCGCAGCGCGCCCCCATCGATGTGCAGGGCGCGTCCGCAGACGGCGTTCCTCGAGTCGCAGGGCCCGCGCTGGGGAAGCCTTGCGAGGGAAATCCTGCCGGTTCTGACCACGGCGGCCCTAGCGGCCCGTGCTACAGAAGCGACCGCGGCGATGCCAGCAGGGCAGAGAAACGTGCCAAACTATTATTCTGTACCACTTAGCCGGCAAAGTCGCTCATGGAGACGAGACTCACGCCTATCCAGCGACTGCGCTTCAGGAGCGAAGTTGGCGCATCCGAGATCCAAGGAAACACGCTGCCGGCGAATTGGATTCGGGAGAAAAAAGGCTCATCTTTGGTGACAGGGTGAGGCGGCCAAGGCCTGTTGGAGACGCCGGACTGCGTCACTTCAGTTCGTTCGCACACGAAGTTGAGGCTGTCGCTCGCGAAGCAGACCGTCAAAATGAGGCCAAAATCCAGAGTAGTGGCGCGCGCGACAGGTACAGCAGCGGTCGCGCGCGATCACTGGGGGTTCAGGACAACGCGCAGCGCCCCACTTGTCCTGCAAGCTGGTTAAGACACCGGGCCACTTGCCAACGGCCACAGAACGCGTCGCCGTAGAAGTCCTGCCGCGCTTGCCTGGTCCTGCGGCGCCTCGCCCTCGCAAGCCGCTTCCCAGGCCGTTGCAGAGCTCCCGGCACCGCGACTGGCGCGGGGGTATTTGGGGCGATTGTACAGACCTGTCTGCCCAGGAGGCTTGGGGAGCGAAGCGTGCAAGGGGTGCGCCCAAATTCTGCGGGGGAACGCATGCGAACCGCGCCATTGGAGCCTTCGGTGGAATTCCCTATGGTGCCACGACACGTGCGAAGGGGCGTGCTGCAATTGCGGGGGAGGCGCATGCGAACGCTGCCGCGTGGGACTTCGGTGGAGTTCCCTATGGAGCCGCGATGCTCGTGAGGGGCGTGCCGATATGTGGCGGGGGGGCGCATGCGAATTTTGCCAGCGGGGAGTTCGGAGGAGGTCTTTTTTGGGGCAACGAAGCACGTGATGTGGCGTGCCAGAATGGTGCGGGGGGACGCATGCAAACCCACATTTGGCCTTTGGGGCCTTTGGTGGAGCTCTCTATGGGACCACTCAGCGTGTGAGCGGCGTGCGGGTATGGGGCGGTGGGGCGCAGGCGAACCTTGCCGGTGGAGCATTCGGAGGAGCTCCCCATGGGGCAAGAACCGTGTGAGGGGTGTGCCGACATTGATCGGGGGACGCATGCGAACCCTGCCACTTGAGCCTTTGGGGGATTTCCCGAGGGGGCCACGAAGCGCGTGAAGGGTGTGCCGACGTGGGGCAGAAGGGGGCGCATGCGAACCCTGCCAGTCGGGCCTTCGGAGGAGCTTCCAATGTGGCCACGAAACGTGTGACGGGTGCGCCGAAATGGTGCGGATGGACGCGTGCGCACCCTGCCACACAGGCCTTCCGAATTCGGACGAGTTCCTGCTAAGGCCACGAAGCATGTGAGGGGTGTGCCGGAATGCTGCGGGGGGACGCATGCGAACCGTGCCATTTGGGCTTCGGAGGGAATTCTCGATGGGGCCACGCAGCGTGTGCGGGGTGGAGGAGTGAGTGAGTGAGTGAGTGAGTGAGTGAGTGAGTGAGTGAGTGAGTGAGTGAGTGAGTGAGGAATGGGTGGGCACGGGGCGCTGTCTCTTCAAAACGAAGACCCAGCACCACATACTTGCCGAGAAAACACAATGAGGTATACACTGCCTTGTTCTCACCACTGTCCTGGTTGTTTTCGCCCTTGTCCCGCCTCTTGACCCTTGCTGCTAGCAGGGTGCTTTGCCTCATGGATCAAGCGGTTCGGCTTGCAGCTCTCGAGGCCCAGGGGGAACGCCGTTTTGGGGCCGTTGTAATAAAACATCGCAAACAACAAACTGGTTACAAAACGCCGCATGCTAGATTACGCAAGTATCACTTGTCATTTGTAAACGAGCGTTTCGGCTAGACTTCATTTATGGATTGGTAGTTCTGCGTAGTTCACCTGTTTTTACGGGTCGGTTATACAACTTTTACAGTGGTCATATGTCAACCTGGCTATGATTACGCGAGTGCCTCGCACAACCGCGCGGACCACAAAATAGGGCGGTTGCAGCCAGATGGGGGGGCGACGGCACAATGGCAGGAGGAGGAGGGAGTGCGGCGGGACAGGGGTACCCGGGAACATGGAGAAGGGGGCAGGGGGAAAAAGAGCAGAATAAGGAGGAGCATGAAGAACAACAGGAAGACGAGGAGGAGGAGGAGGAGGAGGAGGGGAGGAGGAGGAGGAGAAGGAGGAGGAGGAGGAGGAGAAGGAGGAAGAGATCTCGACGATCGCAAACTGTTTTTCACAGTCCGCTGTATTTCAGTCGAGTTGCAGCCTTTCCCGAGCTCGGAGGTGATTTGGTCCCGAGCACTGTGCAGCTGTAGGGGACAGGTTCACTGACTCCTTTGCTGTTATCAATCTGTGTCTCAGGAGGAGGAGGAGGAGGATGATGAGGAGGAGGAGGAGGAGAAAAATAATGAGGATAATGAGGAGGACGAGGAACAGGAGGAGGAGGAACTGTGGGAGGAGGAGGAGGAGGACAAGGAGGAGGAGGAGGAGAGGGAGGAGGAAAAGGTGGAGGTGGAAGTGGATGTGGAGGTGGACGACGTCGAGGACAAGGACGAGGACGAGGACGAGAACGAGAACGATGACGAGGAGGAGGAGGAGGAGGAGGAGGAGGAGGAGGAGGAGGAGGAGGAGGAGAGGGGGAGCAGGAGGAGGAGGGAGGAGAGGAGAGGAGGGAGGGGAGGGGGAGGAGAGGAGGAGAGGAGGGGAGGAGGAGGAGGAGGAGAGGAGGGAGGAGGAGGAGGAGGAAGGAGAAGGGAGAGGAGAGGAGGAGAGGAGGAGGAGGAGGAGGAGGAGGAGGAGGAGGACGAGAATGAATGATGGCCTCGGCGGCGGCTGGGCGCGGCTCCGGTCTCTGGGCGGGCTGCCCGCAGGAGCCGAACGGCATGCGCACGGTGCCCGTGTCGGGCAGGCTGGAGCTGGCCCGCCGCCCCCCTCCCCGCGCGCCGGACCGCGCTAGGAGGAGGGGGCGCCTCCCTCCTCGTCCTCCTCGTCCTCGTCCTCCTCCTCCTCCTACTCCTCCTCCTCCTCGTCCTTCTCGTCCTCGTCCTCCTCCTCATCCTCATCCTCATCCTCATCCTCATCCTCCTGATCCTCCTCCTCCTCCTCCTCCAGACATTACGAACGCTCCCCTCGCTATCTCCTGCTGCGCCGCCATTTCCCTCCAACTGAATGTTGGCGGCGCCGTGTATCACGTAGAATTAAGATGTGCGTTACCTTTTGCAGCAACCTTTTGTGCTCGCCCTCGCTCCGGTCGGGCGCTTCTGTCTACACATGTTTACCCGAGCACATCCGCTTAACAGATAGTTTAGCCATGGCGTCAAATAAATTTTCTCCGAGACTCAATTTGGGACCGCTACTTAAATATGATATACCAGAATATTCAGGCCAAGACCCTATCAACAAAATCCAGATAATGCCCCACATTCTGATGGATCGACAACTGTTGTTCTTCCACCTCCTCTTCCTCCTCATTCTCCTCCTCCTCCTCCTCATCCTCTTCCTCCTCCGCCTCCTCCTCCTCCTCCTCCTATTCCGGTTCCTCCTCCTGCTCTTCCTCCTCCTCCTCCTGCTGTTCCTCCTCCTCGTCCTCCTGCTCCTCCTCTTGCTTCCTCCTCCAGGAGGGGGCGGGGAGGGAGGGGGGGTGCAAGGAGGGGGATCGGGGGGGGTGGGGAGGAGAAGGAGGAGGAGGAGGAGGAGGAGGAGAAAGGGGAGAGGAGAAGGAGGAGGAGGAGGAAGAGGAGGGGAGGCGAGAGGAGGAGGAGGAGGAGGAGGAGGAGGAGGAGGAGGAGGAGGAGGAGGAGGGAGGAGGAGGAGGAGGGAGGAGGAGGAGGGAGGGAGGAGGAGGGAGGAGAGGGAGAGGAGGAGGGGAGAGGAGGAGAGAGGGAGGGAGGAGAAGGAGGAGGGTGGAGGACCAGGAATACTACTTACTTATAAGAAGGTAAGCATACTAAGAAGAACCAGCCCAAGAAGGAAAAGGGTCGGAGGGTGAGGGGAGGGAGGGAGGTGGGGGCGAGGGGGGGGGAGAGAGGGACGGCAGAGGAGGGGCAGGGTGAACGAGAAAAGAGGGGGGAGGTGGAGAAGGAAGGAGGGCGGGGAAGGAGGAGGAGGATAGAGGGCGAGCAGTGAAAGAAGAGAGGAGGAGGAGGAATGACGAAGCGACAGGAAGGGGAGGAGGAGGAGGAGGAGAGGAGAGAGGAGGAGGAGGAGACGAGGAAGGGGAGGAGGAGGAGGAGGAGGAGGAGGAGGAGGAGGAGGAGGAGGGAGGAGGAGCAGGAGGAGGAGGAGGAGGAGTCGGAGGAGGATGGCCGCGAGTCGGAGGGGACGCGTCGTGCCGCGCCCACTCCCGCCCGCGCCACAGCCCCGAGGGACAGGCGACGAGGGACCCCGAAGCCGCGGGACGCACGCACAGACACTACGCACAGTGTCCGCGCTTGCAGCTCAGCCGCTCAGGCCCGAGGGCCAGGCGACCGCGGCGCCCCAGGAGGACGGGCGGGGCCCCCGACAGACGCCGAGGCGGATCCAGCGGGGCGGGGAGGGCTGTTGGGCCGACATGGCCCGCCTTCCCCGCCCCCACCACGCGCCGTTGCTGGACCTTCCAAGTAGCCCTACGCGTATGAGCAGTAGTGACCGAGCCTAGGTCCTTCACACCTGGAGCAAAGCTGATGGAGACGCCACATCCCTTAAACTCGCCCTGCGGGAGCCGCTCCAGCTCGGCCGACGAGGCCACCGCCAAAGGCTCGGAGCTGACCAGGCATCCGAGCGCAGACGTGTCCTGCTGAAGCTCAACCGCGGCGGGTGGCAAGTAGTGGCAGATGAGAGAGGTGGTACCTTTCAGGTACTGGGTAATGCCATCCACGCATGACCTGAGGGGAACACGCACATGTTGGAGATCTCCTGGGCCTCCAGAAACCCGATTGTGAGCCTTCTCCAGAACCCCATAGAGGTAGCACTTGACCCAAGGCATACTCTGCTTACATCCTGCCAAGAGAGACCCCTCTGCGGCGATAACCCTCGAGAGACTTCCAGGCACTTCCAGGGGTTTGGGCGAGGTGAGGAGCTGCAAATACAGCAAGTGACCAGGATAGCCTTGGTTGGCGGCAAAGTGCGACAGGTTGCTGGGGGAGACGGAGTTAAAGAAATTATCGAGGTCCCAATGAAGAGCACGTGATTGGAAACCACAGGAATGGGCCAACTCATGGGCCAGCTCCCTAAACAGCGCAGCCTTCAAGGCCGATAATCATTTCACAGCGGAGTCCTTGAAATCCAAGTGGGTCTTGTTCCAACCGTCAAACTCGAAGCCTCTAGCTTTGCTGCAACTCCGATAGATGCTGGGGCACTTCACAATAGCACGTTCACCACAAGTGGACTTGGGGGAGCATGGCCATGATGCAAACGTAGCATTCAGGAGGGAAACTGAGGGTCCCTCAACCACCCCCAGGACACCTGTGGAAACTTCAAGGGCATCCGCGGGGCGGCCACGTGTCAACGCCGACAGGCGTGGTAGCCTTGAAACAAGTGCCCGCACGAGCAACATCGGATACCTCAAGCACAGGGGCCTCCTCCAGAGCAACCAAGGCCTTAGAGCGCAACTCGCTCATGCCAGCGCGCAAGCAGGTGAGCCGAAGAGAGGACAGGGGTCCATCAAGAGGTCCATTACCTTCTGGAAAACTCATCATGGCCTTGGGGGTATTAACGGCGCCTCCACGAGTCTCGAGCTACTCAACCCAAACCTACTCCTCAGCTTTCAGATAGCGGTGAACAGGGCTAACTCCGCGGGGAAGGGATGTCTGCAGCCGTGTCTTTATACTGAATTTGAACATGAGCCAATGACCACGCTTTAGCACGCACAGCGCTACATGCACCAACGAGGTTACGCAACGTCTCATCATTCCGCGGGGGGGCATCGAGCATGTCTTTCCAGCGATCAGCGTCCTCAGGGGACGGAAGGGGCTCGATGTGGAGCGAAAACGTCGGCGGCCACATCCGACGAGACTGCGCGGCGCTGCCGCGCAGCACTAGAAACACAAGGTGACGCGCGAGCAAGCTTCCACAACTCATGCAACCCGCTAGATACGAGCGGCCAGTCGGACAAGCCAGGATTCCGACAACTCTGCGCCTGCACACTGGGTGTCAACAGAGACACGTCGTTACGCTTCAGCATGGAACCTCGACCAAGGTATCTGACAGGATGAGAAACAAGCGCGCACGCACGTGAGAGAGAGCACGCAATTCCATGGCTCGAGACCAGGCACGGCACTGCATTCCCAAGCTCCGAGACAACCATTCTCTGGAATTTGCTGGCATGGCCTCGTAGAGGTCTGCAGGCACCACCAAGGGGGCCTCGAGGAACTCAGGAGTAGCAGCAGCCACGTACGTGAGCTAGTGATTATCAGGGCCCAGGGCTTCAGGCACCCCCAGAGGCTTAACCCGCTGACAAAGGGGCCCCACCATGGCCTCGATGTTTAACGCCACGCCCAGACACGCATGAGTCTCGAAGGGGGACAGGAGGTCGGCAGACACGGACAGGCACGGGTACAACAGGGGCGAGCACAGCACATAGTCTATCATAGTTACGCCCGCTGAGCAAGTGAACTCGACGTTATAGGGGGCGACGGCCCCAGCATTCAACAGCTCCAGGACACCAGAACCCCCCCCCCAGGAACAGACCCCCCCCAGGAAATCAACCGACATGCATGTTGAAACTGCCCATCAGAAACGAGTGAGTATACACACCTCGAACAAACTGAGCAACTCCACGCAAACGATTCGAATTCCCCCCAGAGGCTCGGATACATGGGACCAGGTAGATGTCTCCAACTGCCACGTTACAGGACTTGAGACGCAGCTCAAGGAAGAACCAACATTCTCCAGAACCGACCTGCTGTGCCCGCCTTGATTGAATGAGGAAATTCCGAAAGCGCAACCGAGTCTGGACAGTGGCCGCCAATCCACCGTGAGCGCCTCCGCCTGGTGATGTGAGTGCGTCTTGGAAGTATGGGGGCCGCTTCGCGTGGCGACAAGTCTTCTTGGCCTGGAAGCAGCCAGGCCCTCGCTGATGATGTTCAGCCAGGAATGCCCCATCCACCGCAGAAGCCTTAGCTGCTATAACCTCCTGAGTGAGCTTAGACCAAGGCATGAGGTTCGCAAACTTAGACGTCGCTTGCTTGGCCGCCTCTCGAGGAAGAGGAGGCGCGCACTTGCGCGGCCGACTCTCCGCCCCTGGACAGGCGGCAGCACGCGCCGCATCGGGGGGAAGAGGAGAGGAGCACACGGGCAACCGACTCTCCGTCGCATGACAGGCGGCAGCACGGACCGCCTCACTATGAAGAGGAGAAAAAGCACACATGCCGCCGACTCCATCCCTTGACAGGCGGCGCGCACCACATCGGGAGGACGAGGAGGAGAGAACTCGCGCGGCCGACTCTCCGTCCAATGACAGGCAGCAGCGCGAGTGGGAGGGGAAGCGCTAATCAAGAGACCGAGGGTTGGCGGAGGCCACAACTCCACCAGGTCCAAAACGATCAATATGCTTGGCAGCGGCGCTGCAGAAGGTGAGGTACATGTCGCAGGTGACCGACTCAGTGGCGCGCGCACGCTTGACAGACTTCGCCACCGGCCGCTTCTGGAGCAGGTTGGTATAGGCTTTGGCGGCGGCCGCGTCCATGCCTCCGTCCGCTGCGCGTTTCTTGAGCTCGCGGAACTGGTCACGCTCCTCAGGCTCCAGCTCCGTTGCCAAGCTCAGAGCCGAGATCCGAGAACTCATCATTGGGCTGGCCGCCGCGCATCCGTTGAAGGTGAATACGGTGCTGCTTCCACTGGGCGAGCTGGATACCTGTGAACTGAACCAACAATTCATGATTCATGAGTAGCGTCATCAAAGTCATGGAGATGGGCCTCGGCGCACGCGAAGTCAACCAGGCGACCACGAAGCTAAGGCACATCAGGAGGCACATCTTGACCAGCGGCAGCCATGGCGACGTCGGCCGCGCCCGCTGCAGCGCCAGGCGGGGGGGGTCGCCAGCCCCGCCTGCAGCGCCAG